GCCACGCCGTTGGCCTGCAGGGACCGCAGCTGGTCCAGAGACTTGCTGTGGCGCGCGCTGCGGGCGTTGGCCGTCGCGCCTCGCACCGGCAGGGTGGCCGTCTGGTCCGGGGGCTGGCCGTGCCCACCCTGGCCGCGGTGCGGCTGCAGGGTGAGCGTCGCCTTGATCACGTTGTCGTCCTGCAGCTCGGACTGCTCGCCCACGCCCACCAGATCTGCTGTACAATTCGTAGGTTAGGACAGGGTGCAGCTCCGACCAAGATCAGCCCGGCAGGTCGCCGCGCCACTCACCCGTGGACTGCGTGCTGTTGCTCGCTAGGGTGGTGGTCGTGGAGCCCGACCGCTTGTTGGCCCTGGACTCCAGGATGGCGGAGATGCCGCAGCTGCAGTCGTCGTGGCTGGCGAGCGGCGCAGCGCCGTGGCCGGCCCGCACCGGCTGCTTGCTCTCGTCTGCAAGAACACGACCGTCAGCACCGCGGCCAGGGTGGGCTCCGCAATCGCACCCGCACCGCGCGGACAAACTCACCTCCGCGCCCGAGGCCGCTCAGGCCCGCCGCGCTGCGCCGCCTTGCGAACTCGTCCACCTCCTGGTACTGGTCCTCGAAGATGATGGGGAGCGTGGCGATGTCACCGTCGGTCTCCACGCACTGGATGGGCAGCGGCGGCAGCGACGCCAGGTAGCGCGACCGGCGCGCCATCTCGCTCACCGCCAGGTAGTTTTGGTAGTTGGCGTCGTAGCAGCCCGCCGCCGAGTGCCGGGGGTTGTCCAGCACGAAGAATGCCTCGGCGAACCGCCGAACCTGCGAAGGGGAGGGGCAGGGGCGTTTCGAGCTTTAGCGTGCACCCTGACACAACCCTGGAGTGAGTCGTTGAGGCCGTGATCGTTGAGAGTTTCTTACCCTCAGCTGGTGGTGAACTTTGGACAGGTGCTGGTGAACAGGTTCCTTTAGGGTGAAAGCGTCCAGAAACTTCTGCCAGAGCATGATGTTCTCAGCGCATAGCTGAGCGATGTCCTTATTCGCGAGCGCCGCGAACTCTTCCTCCACGTCAACGCCCTAAGGAAGGAAGCGGGACACGGTTAAAATCAGCAGGTGGCGCTTGTATTTATCAAATAAATGTTTAACTACCAAGTAAAAGCATTTCTCATGTCAAACTATTAAAACTTTGCTGAACGGATTATTTTATATAAAATGTAGAAAATTACAGACTATGATACAACGTCTTTGAAATGTCCAAGCAGTAAATGTAAATACATCAGGTGTACTATTACGCTAAGGAAATAATTGTAAAATGACGCAAGCTGTCATTACTATTACGATGTTAACAGAAAAGAAAGAAATCTTGCATGCCGGGGCTGCTCATAGCGCCTGCGGATCGTTGGGTAGGCCACCGAGCACGACATGCGTGCGTTGCGGGTCTGCCTATGAGCTGCTCACAGGCGCTAGCGACAGAAAGCAGCAGCGAATGGAGGAAGAAGAAGGATACTCATCGGTACTATGAATGGCAGAGTGTTAAAGGTTTAGGAAGGGTGAAAGTACGTATGGTGATGTATGTTGCGATGGATATTGGTCAAGTGTTATTTAAGTCCTCGAAGTTCGGCATCATGAGTGTCAGTTCTTCCTAGTCAGCGGCTGCCTCTCAGTTTGAGGAAGGATGGGAAGATGAAGCCAAGAACTACAATCTCGTCCTACGGTTGAGTCCAACGACAGACACGAGGATAGAAGCCATGATTTACTGAGCAAATGTATAAAGTGAAGCCAGTAGCAAATGCCTGACTCTCGACCGATGCGGTCGCCTGCTAGCACAAAGCCGTGTCGAGCCCTGCCGCCCGGTGGTCCCCACCGACCGGGGCCAACGGGGCGAAGGAGGGATCAGCTGTTGCTTTACCCGGTGTTCCCGGTACTCGTAGCCATGTCCGTATCTGCGGGGCTGCTCGGCACGGTGCTCGCCGGAGCCGGCCAGCGTGCGGTGACACTCCTTGCAACACACAGGGCGCTGAGACCGGCCTACCAAGTATCTCCCTTCCCTGTTCTTTCCATTCCTCTATCTCCACACTCGTTTTCATCATTCAGTTTGACTGTATTTCTCTCACACACAGCTTTGAAGGAATATGTTTAAAAAGTGCTCGAGCAGCTTAAGGAATGGATAAAGAAAACATCTGCAAAGTAATAATCAGAAGACGGCTCCGCATAAAATATGGTCTAAATACCAGAGCCGCAAAATGTGTTG